TATGACAATGCCAACATGACGACAATAGGTTTATTGTCTTAGTGACAATATCAACATGACGACAATGGGTATGTTGACGGAATGACAATATTACCATGACAACAATGACTATATTGATGTAGTGACAATGTCAACATGACGACAATGGATATATTGACGGAGTGACAATATTACGATGACGACAATGGGTATATTGACAAAGTGACAATGTCAACATAACAACAATAGGTATATTGACGTAGTGACAATATTACGATGACAACAATGGGTATATTGATGTAGTGACAATGTCAACATGACGACAATGGGTATATTGAAATAGTTACAATATTACGATGACAACAATGGGTATATTGACATAGTAACAATATTACAACAATGGGTATATTGACGTAGTGACAATATTATGGTGACTGCAATGGGTATATTGATATAGTGACAATGCCAACATGACTACAATGGGTATATTGATATAGTGACAATATCAACATGACAACAATGGGTATATTGACGTAATGACAATATCAACACGATGACAATGGGTATATTGACGTAGTGACAATATTGCGATGACAACAATGGGTATATTGACTTAGTAACAATATCAACACGACGCCAATGGGTATATTGACATAGTGACAATATTACGATGACAACAATGGGCATATAGACGTAATGACAATATCAACATGACAACAATGGGTATGTTGAGTAGTGATAATGCAAAAATTACGACAATGGGTATATTGACATAGTAAAAATATTACGATGACAACAATGGGTATATTGACGTAGGGACAATGCCAACATCAATACAATGGGTATATTGACATAGTGACAATATTAACATGACAACAATGGGCATATAGACGTAATGACAATATCAACATGACAACAATGGGTATATTGAGTAGTGATAATATCAACATGACGACAATGGGTATATTGACGTAGTGACAATATCAACATGACATCAATGGGTATTTTGATATAGTGACAATATCAACATGAGGACAATCGGTATATTGACGTAGTGAAAATATTACGATGACAACAATGGGTATATTGATGAAGTGTCAATGTCAACATGACAACAATTGGTATATGGATTTATGACAATGCCAACATGACGACAATAGGTTTATTGTCTTAGTGACAATATCAACATGACGACAATGGGTATGTTGACGGAATGACAATGTCAACATGACAACAATGGGTATATTGACGTAGGGACAATGCCAACATCACTACAATGGGTATATAGACTTAGTGACAATATTACGATGACAACAATGGGTATATTGACGTAGTGACAATATCAACATGACAACAATTGGTATATTGACGTAGTGACAATATCAACATGACAACAATACTTATATTGACGTATTGACAATATTAACACGACGACAATGGGAATATTGACGTAGGGACAATGCCAACATTACAAGAATGGGCATATAGACGTAGTGACAATATTACGATGACAACAATGAATATATTGACCTACGGACAATGCCAACATGAAGACAATGGGTATATTGATGTAGTGACAATGCCAACATAACGAGAATTGGTATATTGACAAAGTGACAATGTCAACATAACAACAATAGGTATATTGACGTAGTGACAATATGACAATGGGTATATTGACGTATGACAATATCAACATGACAACAATGGGTATATATCAACATGACAATGGGTATATTGACGTAGTGACAATATCAACATGACAACAGAGGGTACCTTGACGTAGTGATAATGCCCAATCATGACGAAAATAGGTATTTTGAAGTAGTAACAATATCAACATGACGACAATGGGAATATTGACTTAGTGACAATGCTAACATGACATCAATGGGTATTTCGATATAGTGACAATATCAACATGAGGACAATCGGTATATTGACGTAGTGAAAATATTACGATGACAACAATGGGTATATTGACATAGTAACAATATTACGATGACAACAATGGGTATATTGACATAGTAACAATATTACGAGGACAACAATGGGTATATTGACATAGTAACAATATTACGAGGACAACAATGGGACTATTGACGCAGGGACAATGCCAACATGACGACAATATCTATATTTACTTATTGACAATATCAACATGACGACAATAGGAATATTGACTTAGTGACAATATCAACATGACAACAATGGGTATATTGACGTAGTGACAATATCAACATGACAACAATGGGTATATTGACGAAGTGACAATATCAACATAACAACAATGGATATATTGATGTAGCGACAATATCAACATGACAACAATGGGTATATTGACGTAGTGATATGCGAAAATGACGACAATGGGTATATTGAAGTAGTGATAATGCCAACATGTCGACAATGGGTATATGGATGTAGTGACAATGCCAACATGACGACAATGGGTATATTGAGGTAGTGACGATATCAGCATGACAACAATGGGTATATTGACGTATTGATAATGCAAAAATGACGACAATTGGTATATTGACGATGTGACAATGTCAACATCACGACAATGGGTATATTAACATAGTGTACATGACAATGGGTATATTGATATGACAATATCAACATGACGACAATGGGTATGTTCACGGAATGACAATATCAACATGACAACAATGGGTATATTGATATAGTGACAATGTCAACATGACGACAATGGGTATATTGACGTAGTGACAATATTACGATGACAACAATGAGTATATTGATCTAGTGACAATGTCAACATCACGACAATGGGTATATTCAAGGAGTTACAATATTACGATGACATCAATGGGTATATTGACATAGTAACAATATTACGAGGACAACAATGGGTATATTGACATAGTAACAATATTACGAGGACGACATTGGGTATATTGATGTAGGGACAATGCCAACATGGCGAAAATGGGAATATATACGTAGAGACAATGCCAACATGACAACAATGTGTATATTGACGTAATGACAATATCAACATGACAACAATTGGTATATGGAAGTAGTGACAATGTCAACATGACGACAATGGGTATATTGACGGAGTGACAATGCCAACACGACGACAATAGAAATATTGTCATAGGGACAATATCAATATGACGACAATAGGTATATTGACATAATGACAATGTCAACAAGACGACAATGGGTATATTGACGGAGTGCCAATATCAACATGACAACAATGGGGATATTGACATAGTGACAATATTACGATGACAACAATGGGTATATTGATATAGTGACAATGTCAACATGACGACAATGGGTATATTGACGTAGTGACAATAGCCAACATTACGACAATGGGTATATTGAAGTAGTGACAGTATTACGATGACAACAATTGGTATATTGATGTAGTGACAATATTACGATGACAACAATGGGTATATTGATGTAGTGACAATGTCAACATGACCACAATGGGTATATTGGCGTATTGACAATATTACGATGACAACAATGGGTATATTGATGTAGTGACAATGTCAACATGACCACAATGGGTATATTGACGTATTGACAATATTACGATGACAACAATGGGTATATTGATGTAGTGACAATGTCAACATGACGACAATGGGTATATTGACGGAGTGACAACGCCAACATGACAAGAATTGGTATATTGATGTTGTGACAATACCAACATGACGACAATTGGTATATTGACGGAGTGACAATGCCAACATGACAACAGTGGGTATATTGATGTTGTGACAATACCAACATGACGACAATTGGTATATTGACGTAGTGGCAATGCCAACATGACGACAATTGGTATATTGACGTAGTGAAATTGCCAACATGACAATAATGGGTATATTGACGTAATGACAATATCAACATGACATCAATGGGTATATTGTCGTAGTGACAATGCCAACATGACGACATTGGGTATATTGTCGTAGTGACAATGCCAACATGACAACAATTGGTGTATTGACTTATTGACAATATCAACATGACGACAATAGGTATATTAATGAAATAACATTATTAATACTGCGAAAATATGTTGATTTTTTTGCTGATAAGACCCTTTACCTTTGATACCCTGTAGAAGATATGACGTATCTGTTCTATTTTTTTTCACTGACGTAGCAACCTGCCAATACATGGACGCTATTTCTTAAAATGACTGACTATTCTATGTGCGATTTACCTAACAAACCTAGCATTCCACTCCTTTATACTGCTGGGAAACAACCGTTTGATAAAACGGAAGCAATGATTTCTGCTATTAACTGGTTGTACAAAAAGACAAAGACAATAGCACAAAATGAGAATTAGGCAGAGTTTGTCAATTGATGAAATGAACTACATCACATATATACTCCCTCCTTCTCGGTATCGTCTGTGCTGCTAGTGGCTTGGGGTATGGCGGATAAGAAAAACCAAAACCGGCCGAAATAAACGTTTAATTCAAGATGAGGGTTGTATGGGAATTCAAGGATACACTAAACCCATACTTAATTGTATCTTAGTATTTTTTTTCTTTTTTTTTGCGTCGATACATATTCCAGAAGAAGTCTCTTGAAATGTGATATAAAAGTTAGTCTCCTTACCCCCTCCACACCCCCCTCCCCCAACCGAAACAAAAACAAAAACAAAAAACAAACCACAAACAAACGGATTTCAATCAGTTATGTGTTTTATCATACTTCATACAAATATAGAAGAGAGTACATCTCATCTGCTACAATATCTGTTGTTATTTTCATAAGAATATTCCAATACATATCTATATGTGAACAATACATACAAGTCACTATTCATAACACGTATTTTTATCATCATATAGGAAGAGGCATTTTTTTCAAAGCTTGAGACAATTGATCATTAGTTTACCTTTTGGGTGTAGACAAAATTATAATTTGAAATGTCGAAATTTTTAAATTGAAATACATCTCAATGTCGTGAACAAGCCAATATCAGCAAATATGATTACATTACGACTAAACAGTGACATCTTTTCTAGTCGCACACAATGCGCATGACACTTTATGCTTCCTAATACCACATCCGGTGACTACATCATATTCATGTCCTCCAAAACGCTTGATTGTAGCGGAAGGTGCAGTTTTCGTTTCGTCGCTGTCAGCAGACTGTGATTTCTCATTACCATCTATTTTATCAACTTTGTTGATTTTTTTCCGGAGTTTACACATGCTGCATTTCGGTATCGCAAGGGGAGGTAAATCTCCAGCTTCTTTCTTTATTGCTTCCGGTACAAAGTAATTTAAATCCACCCCAAGACGATTGTCTTTCAATTGTTTATATTCTTCGACTAAAAATTCCCGTGACGTGTCCAGACTGAATGCTTTAGCAGCGAAACGCGCCAGTCGTAAACCCTCATCGGCAAATACATCATCTGGATCTTCTTCTTCGGGATGTACGGATTCCTCACAATTCTTCTTAACCGGAAGTCCAATTCCTTCCTGATGATCAACCCCCTCCGTGTTCCTCTTTAATAATTCTGGGTTATTTACAGCCTGATACGCAGCATTCTCGAAATCTTCCCTAATTTGCTCTTGAATTCCATCAAAGGCTCTATTTAAGGTATTAGTGAGCAACTCTAAATCCTTATTTAAGTTGAATTCGTTGTTGCATTTACCGTCGTGTTTGATCTGTTTCCATTCATGAGAATCATGGATCTCTTTCAGGTCCTGACAACCATGAAACATGTCCTGTTCCTGATAACCGTAGATATCTCGTCGTCGTAAGGAATTTCCGAAATCGTTTATATACTTGCCAAATGAAGATTTGTGAGCATCCCTTTCTGTTTGCATTATACATTTTATCCGATCTTCTATATCAGTACAATAAGGGGACGTGAATGAGCCTGTATTGAATATGAGCTTTTGACCGGAATCCGCCCTTTTCCGCAAGGCCATATATTCGTCTTCCATCATTGAGAGGTATTTTTGTGTTTTTTCTAGATCTTTACACCGAAAGAATTCCAAGTCTATATTCCGTAGGGCCTCTGCTTTTTCCATAGTACACCAAAAGTTCCGGTCACGCATGTCCATAGATGATGGTACGCAACCATTGTGATTTGTACAAATTTTGCTTGGTGAGGACGACTCTGCTATACTTCTGTATCGATCTAAGCGACGTAAATGATGAGCTTGTTGTGCTTGCAACAATATTCTTTCGGTGTCGAGGACATTCTCGATTTTCTTCATGGTGGTTTGGTCAATCTCCCAACGTAAAAAGTCAGATACTTTTCTATCACATTCCTCTATATCTTCGTCACTACTATCATCGTCGGACGTATCGTCCGAGGATGATTCAGTCAGTTGTTGATATAGCAATGATCTCTGTTTTACGGGTATGGCAGTCTTTCGTTCCTGATCTCGTATCTCTTTGCACCTTCCTCGTTGACGTTTTATTTTCAGTTCCTTCAATTTGGCTTTGTATTTGGTGTAGTTGTCGACATCTGCATCTGTTTCACTTAAAGTTGCTTCAGATGGTGATGTTTCCGTATTCGATCGAGATAATTGCCATTCTTTACAAGCAACAAGCCTGAGTTCGTTCATCCCCTGCCGGATAGCAATACTTGACAAACCGGAAGCTACAACAGTTCGGCAGTACTCCAAAGACGACGTTCGCTGAGTTTCATCTGTCAGACCTGTTACGAGTACACCTGATTTATCGTCTACGTTCGACCTATTACGAAATCTCTTGTCGTTTTTTGCTTCCATTTTATCCGTATTGAGTTGGGCAATACATCGACTTTCAGAGGAACTGACTTCCTGATGCGAGAGTAATGCGTCCGACCTTAATGAGGTGACTTCTTCATTCTTCTGACTTTGGTCTTTCATGCTCCAAACGAATTTCCTGTGTGCAACAGATATGGCATCTTTTACAATCAAACTCGCAAACTGAGCCAATGACTCTCGCTCTACCGCAGCTATTATGGATCCTTTCGAGGTATCTCGTTTGTCGGCATCATAATCTTTGTGTTTCACAAAAGTTCCTGTTTTGGCAGAATATGAATATCTATCAGATCGTGAAGGTTCATCAATAAGACCTGTTTTACGCTGAATGTCACAATCACAGTTGTGTTCCTTTGTAGGAATAAAAACACTATTCCCTTCGATTTCATGGTCACAGTCGCTGTGTTCTTCAGGTTCGTGTTCTAGTGAAGGAAAGTCATTCGGAGGGTATACGTCCCTCTCTGAAACACATGTCAGCAATTCTGCACACTCTGTAGCGTCCTTACCCTTTGTATTACCTTCGTCCTCAACACTGTTGTAAAAATCCCGTGAATACGCAATAAGTTCCGCATTTCTGTCGGAGTTAAGGGTGTCTATTACATAAGAATGTGTTCTTGAAGCTAAACTGGACACGGAAAAGGTTGAAACAGGACATTCCCTCACGTCCTCAACTGAAGGAGTGAATATATCTAATCGTGAGATGTCGTCAAAATAAGGACATGTAAAAACTTCACTCGGAGTAATTCTAAGCTTTGAATACGAGTTTTGGGTTGGGACTTCAGCCTGTAATTCCAAGTTCCCATCGGATGAACGTACGTTTATCGGGTCATGAGAAGACGGAGTATTTTGGACTGACGATTCCGAATGATTTTGAATTGTTTCTTTGGATTGCTTCTGATCCAGAGAAATGTCACTGATAACTCGCTCTGAAATCTTCCGTGCGGCGTAGTCTAACATGTCGCCACCGTTCGACAATTGGCTCATATCAGAGGAGTGTGAATTGGAGGTGTTTGCTCGAATCCCGAGAAATAACTGTATGTTGCATTCCTTTATCTTATTTTCATCAAAACAACTGAAATATCCATCATCGTTATCTTCTTGAAGTGCCAGAAGATGGTTTTGACTGTAAGTCGTATCCACAGCTATATCTAGTGACTCAACGTAATGCTGAAATTTTCTAAGAAAGTTAACCTGATCTTCGTCACTAAAACTGAACAATGTGTCCTCACTGTGAAAGGTTTGGGTTTGGTTGTGCTCATTCAGTTTCTGCTCCATGTCAATCGCCGTACACAGGCTTGCAGCATCTCTTGAATCGACAACTTCGTATGTAGGACTCGGTTTTGCTGGAATAGTGGTATCACTTTCCTTCCAAGTTTTGTTGACAGAGTCACTTGAACCTTGAATGATGTCCATGGTGAATGATGACGAACTACTTCGTCTTGATGTGTTTTCTTCAACAGTTAGACACAGCGTCTCATTTGGATGTTGTTGTATATCCACAGATTCGTTCAGTGTTACGGGAACAACCTCGAACGTCTCTGTCAAATTAGTGTCATCGCTATAGATACCATTTAAAGTTTTATCCTGATTTGTTTCAACAGCTACCTCGGAAACATCACTGTCATAACTTTCGTAACCAGCCGTGTCTTCACCGTCATCGAATAAACCATAACTAACGCCAAGCTCGCGCAATTTTTCCTCGTTGCTTTTGATGTCGTTTCGTGTTGAAGAACATTCAAGATTATTCCTTCCAAATTTCGGAGACACATCATTATTTTCATCATCAAAGTATCGCATAAAGGACGCACTCTTTTTATCCTGACCTGAATCATACTGGCAACCTTGTTGTTTTTGTGTTGCGGTCTTGTAGCCGAAAGTAGCTCCAGGTACTGTAGTATCATTGAATATACCTGGTAAAGTGAAAGCTGTCGTAAAGTTACTGGCAGCACATTCTTCTTCAGTGATAAATGATACATGAGATCTGTCATCAATACTTTCGCTTGAAGAGACAGAACTTTCGGGATCTATTGGGGATGTGTACTGGTTCGGCCTTGTTTCAACATCATTAGATAGCTGTGAATCAGATTGAGGAATATTGGAACTTGAACTGCCATTCACTGGAAGGAACATTTTATCACTAGGATGAAAGACAACATACTCAGTATGTGATAAATTGGAGTCATCCATGTCTTCGCATTCTCTGTGTCGTTCGGACGGATCTGCTGCATTCGGCACATCAGACGGAGGTAGGATATTTGTAAGGGATCCTGTCTCGACGGATACGTCTTGTAACATACTTCCAAAAGCTGAATCGAATAGTATCGAAGAAGAATTGTTTTTCATGTCATCAAACTGAGGTTGTACACAAAACTCATTGTTTATGGCATTCACTTGGTCACCATTTGATGTATCACTAAGAGTTTGAATACTTGCGCATCCCGGAAAGTTTGTCTCAGAGTAACTTTCGAGCCGGTTAGTCCCTTTTGCCTCCTCATCAACGTCAGACAAATCATTGTAAACCATTTCATGGTTTCGGAGAATTGTTTGTGCCGTTTTAGGTTTTCTTGCACCAAACAGTTGTTGATTTTGCCCGCTAGGTGCCACTGAAGAAGACCTCTCGCGAGAACATCTTGTATCCAACATTTGGTTTTCATTTTCTCGTTCAAATTTTGTGTTACTTCTGTAGATGGTTAACCAAGATGGCCGACTGTCTTTTAGTGGGATGCTTGTGTCCCTAATTGTTGTAGCAGAAATATCTGAGATCGAATCACGTGACTCCTGTAAATTGTCTCGAGATGACCATGGACTGGGCGGAAGTGACGGTAATTTTGGGATAACAGGAATATCAGGTACGACGTTGGAATATGTATGCATACACGGATTTGGCTTTCCACCCTCCGTTTTTCTATTCATATGTTCAAGCGGTACTTCCGGATCCGGTTCACGTGATGTAAAAGAGGGACTACAGCCATTGTTATACCACTCAATTAGTCTGTCTAACGTACTGCCTGATTCTGCAATTTGTTTGTTCAGATATCTACTCTCTTCTTCCCCTGAGAAATCTACCAGACGATAATGTTTCCGTATATGATCTAAACGAGCCGCGAGAGATTCAGTATTGATTTTGTCCGTTGCACTTTTGGCAATTAAATCACACGAAAGTTTAGAATCCGATGACGATTGAAGATTTTCAGAACTATAGTTATCAGATTCAGGAAATAAAACTCCTGAAGAAGAAATTATATCTATGTCAGATGACGAGTTCCTGAGTGACTGTTGCTGGAGATATTGTCCATTGAGCCACATTTCACAGTTGGCAATTTTCCCGTCTCTGCCAGTTCCGGTACTCTCACTGGTTATGTCTTCCGTGGAGCAAATGAGGTCCAGTTTTCCTGTATACGGATTCTGATCGGAGACAGTAATATCCAAGTTCAATTTCATCGCTAATCTAGGAAATTTAACCACGACATGTTGGCTTTCTGTGTTTTCCCTTGAATTTTCATCCTCATCCATACTAAGATATTCCGTTGAGGCGAGGGAATGAAATTCATCGTCGTTTTCATTTGTAAAAGTCCCTACAAATCGACTATTCTCCTGTGCATCCGGTGGTGTGATATGGTCAGACGGAGGTTCCCGAGTCCACCGGAAGTCGGGGTTATTACGTTGGTTGTCATATCCAGCGTCAGCATAGGAATCCCAATCCAGCTGGAAGGATTGGTCCGCATGTGAACTCTCATCTGTCAACGACATTACGATAGAACCATGTGTTGATAATTATTTGATATGTCTTAGTTATTGTGTGTTTGCTACTCTATGAATAGTTAGGTTCATTTAGGATTTTATTGTAGAAGCGGGTCACTAACGGAGTGAACAACATAAGGAAGTGAAAAAGCATGTATTGATAGATGTGCGAAATGAAGAAGTAATGGGAAAACACCCTGCCATCGCAGGGGTTCGAACTAGTGACCCTTCGGTTCCTAGCCGTACACTCTAACGCTTGAGCTGAGGCTAGTTAAGCGAACTGTACTCCCAACTTCTAGACTACTCCCTCCTTCACAATGTCTTCGACCCCGAAGACAACAACAGCAACCCAGGTTCATTATATCCAAGAAAGCATATCAATCTCCAATAGCTTCTATCCTTGGAGTGATCACCAAATCTGTAGTAGGAAAGAGTAATAAAAACACCCTTCATTCGCTGGGGTTCGAACCAGCGACCCTTTTGTCTCTAGCCAGACAATCTACCGCTTGACTGAAGGGAAATCCCACTAGCCGTGGCTAGTAAGGCGACCTGTAGTCTCAACTTCTACAGACGTACTCTACAATATGTAGAGGCGATCGTTGAAACAAATACATGGATCTTACAGCTTTCGCTGTGGAGTTTGCTGTTATAGGACAATAAGCACATACGTCATTATCTCCATGACTGATCAATATGCCAGCATCAAGTTTTATCAGTGTTCACCTCAAATTATTGTTGTTTCCTGATCAGTTTTCAATAAATTAATCCTTCTATGTTTTAAGTTCGTGATAACAAGATTGCACTTCCGGTCCACAAAAGACATCTAGCTATAATATATCAGAAACCTTAAAACACCAGTTGCACTGGAAGGATTTCCCTTTAGAGAAACGCTCTCAGTTGATAGTACGGGGCTGTCGTGTATATGATGAACTACAGCGTGCTGACAATAGAGTAAACCTACTGAGATTTTCGCAATAGTGAGTTCCCCGATAAAATGACACTAGAGTGAGGTTCGTGATGAAAAAAGTGACCACAGAAATATGACACATAAAGCACTGTCACCTCATCGATAGAAACCGGATAAAACAGTAATAGGGGCTTCAAATCGGGAGGGACATTATCACAGATATCACAGATATGTCATCATTTACCTAATACAACACAATCAGGGCGAACTTTATCTAATACAACACAATCAGGGCGAACTTTATCTAATACAACACAAACATGGCGAACTTTACCTAATACAACACAAACATGGCGAACTTTATCTAATACAACACAATCAGGGCGAACTTTACCTAATACAACACAATCAGGGCGAACTTTACCTAATACAACACAATCAGGGCGAACTTTACCTAATACAACACAAACAGGGCGAACTTTATCTAATACAACACAAACATGGCGAACTTTACCTAATACAACACAATCAGGGCGAACTTTATCTAATACAACACAAACAGGGCGAACTTTACCTAATACAACACAAACAGGGCGAACTTTACCTAATACAACACAATCAGGGCGAACTTTACCCAATACAACACAATCAGGGCGAACTTTATTTAATACAACACAAACAGGGCGAACTTTACCTAAAACAACACAAACAGGGCGAACTTTACCTAATACAACACAATCAGGGCGAACTTTCTTTAATACAACACAAACAGGGCGAACTTTACCCAATGCAACACAATCAGGGCGAACTTTACCTAATACAACACAATCAGGGCGAACTTTACCTAATACAACACAATCATGTCGGACTTTACCTAATACAACACAATCAGGGCGAACTTTACCTAATACAACACAAACAGGGCGAACTTTACCTAATACAACACAATCAGGGCGAACTTTACCTAATACAACACAATCAGGGCGAACTTTATCTAATACAACACAAACAGGGCGAACTTTACCTAATACAACACAAACAGGGCGAACTTTACCTAATACAACACAATCAGGGCGAACTTTACCCAATACAACACAATCAGGGCGAACTTTATTTAATACAACACAAACAGGGCGAACTTTACCTAAAACAACACAAACAGGGCGAACTTTACCTAATACAACACAATCAGGGCGAACTTTCTTTAATACAACACAAACAGGGCGAACTTTACCCAATGCAACACAATCAGGGCGAACTTTACCTAATACAACACAACTTTACCTAATACAACACAATCATGTCGGACTTTACCTAATACAACACAATCAGGGCGAACTTTACCTAATACAACACAAACAGGGCGAACTTTACCTAATACAACACAATCAGGGCGAAGTTTACCTAATACAACACAATCAGGGCGAACTTTACCTAATACAACACAATCATGTCGGACTTTACCTAATACAACACAAGCAGGTCGGACTTTACCTTATACAACACAAGCAGGTCGGTATTTACCTAATACAACACAATCAGGTCAGACTTTACCTAATAAAACACAAGCAGGTTGGTATTTACCTAATACAACACAAGCAGATAGGACTTTGCCTTTTACAACACAATCAGGGCGAACTTTATTTAATACAAAACAAACAGGGCGAACTTTACCTAATACAACACAAACAGGGCGAACTTTACCTAATACAACACAATCAGGGCTAACTTTCTTTAATACAACACAAACAGGGCGAACTTTACCTAATACAACACAATCAGGGCGAACTTTACCTAATACAACACAATCAGGGCGAACTTTACCTAATACAACACAATCATGTCGGACTTTACCTAATAACACAATCAGGGCGAACTTTACCTAATACAACACAAACAAGGCGAACTTTACCCAATACAACACAATCAGGGCGAACTTTATTTAATACAACACAAACAGGGCAAACTTTACCTAATACAACACAAACAGGGCGAACTTTACCTAATACAACACAATCAGGGCGAACTTTACCTAATACAACACAAACAGGGCGAACTTTACCTAATACAACACAATCAGAGCGAACTTTACCTAATACAACACAATCAGGGCGAACTTTACCTAATACAACACAATCATGTCGGACTTTACCTAATACAACACAAGCAGGTCGGACTTTACCTTATATAACACAAGCAGGTCGGTATTTACCTAATACAACACAATCAGGTCAGACTTTACCTACTAAAACACAAGCAGGTTGATATTTACCTAATACAACACAAGCAGATAGGACTTTGCCTTATACAACACAATCATGTTGGTCTTTACCTTATGCAACACAATCAGGTCGGACTTTACCTGATACAACACAATTAAGTCAGAGTTTACCTAATACAACACAAGCAGACAGGACTTTGCCTAATACAACACAAGCAGATCGGACTTTACCTAATACAACACAATCAGGGCGAACTTTATTTGATACAACACAAACAGGGCGAACTTTACCTAATACAACACAATCAGGGCGAACTTTACCTAATACAACACAAGCAGGTCGGACTTTACCTGATAGAACACAATCGGGTCGGACTTTACCTAATATCAAAACCTAGTAAACAAATTATATACTACAATTTGATAGAAACCGCACATTTGGAAAGCCTTCATTTGGAAAAACAGGTAACAGAAATCGAAAATGTCCAATGCCGGGCAACCAAGCAGGTAGCAGGCCTTTCATCGTTATCTTACATGGAGCGTCTGCAAAAACTACAATTACCAACATTAGCATATAGAAGGTCACGTGGTGATATGATAGAGGTGTATAAAATAATTTCCGGGAAATATGACTCAGAGGTCGCAGACTTGTTTTCTGTCAACGAAGGGTTGTACACATATGGACATAACAGCAAAATATATAAAGATTTTTCAAAATTGAACTTAAGGAAATATTCGTTCACGTAGAGGACCGTAGATGTTTAGAATAGTCTTCCATTTAATGTTGTAAATGCAACGACAGTTAAACAATTGAAATATAATCTAGATGAACATTGGAAAAACCAGCTACAGAAGTATTGGTTTAAAGAAAAAATTATGCTGTGATCTGTATTTTAGTATAAATAGTATTAAGAGCCTTGTCAGAATAAATCCTTTGAACATTTTCATTTCAAGATATGAAATATATTTCTTCATGTTTTAAATTAACCTGGGCACTGACCTCCTCCCCCGATCCCGCTAAATGTCGTACATGTATGTCCGAAATCTTCAGAGGAACTCGAGTGATCATTCAAGGCGTTCATCATGACGCATTTACGTCACTTCCAGAAAATATCTGAAAAAGATACCTCTTTATTTTCTTCTTTCTATATCATCTTTAAATCGCATATTAGAGGATGTTGATGTTTATATCGAAAGGCAAGAAAAATTTGGCTTAACGAATGAGAAGTAAACAAAGTTGGATCATTATAATTTTGTAGAAGCCGCCGGAGTTGTCTGAATAAGACCATATTGATTTCGGGTGCGGGATCTTATCGACTCCGTGCATCAGACTCACTTTCATCAGATATATCTTCACATGTTCAAAGTTCCATTCCGTAGAGCGTAAACGCAAAGTTATGTAACTGCCACCATTTAAGTTGGTCAAAATAAGCTCTGTATAATGTAGTCATAACGCGGAACAACCCAATTCTGGACGCGTTTGTAAGGAAATCATTATGTAAAAGAAAAGCCAAATGTTTATCCAGTCTGTTCTATATGCTCACTTCACGCAGCGAAAAGAGATTTAGCCGCCGTTGTTCCGGGCTAACACATTATCACACGCTTTTTGAATGCTGCTGTAATGGTATCTTGGCAGTATAACCCGCTCATCTCCATTCGCTCGAATTTTAAGCCAACATCATGTTATTGTAATTATTAGCTAAATTTCAAAACACTATAAAATGTCTTTTGAGAAGGAATTTTGGAAACTTTTCTGTTTGATCAGTCTAACTTATATACTAGGAGTGGGTTTCCACTGTGGATCCAACTCGTGAACACTTACTTCTCAGACCGACACTGTGTAAGGGAAAATATTC